GAGTGTGTTGTTTAATCTCCATGTGTTTGTGTGGTGATTTTGGCTTCTTCGGGTGTTGATTGTAAGTTTTATTGCATTGTGGTCTGATGGAACGCATAGAATTATTTCAATCTTTTTGTATTTGCTGAGTTTTGTTTTGTGCCCCAGTATATGGTCAATTTTGGAGAAGATCCCATGGGGTGCTGAGTAGAAATATGTGTAGATATCTGTTAAGTCCATTTGAGATATGGTTTTGTTTAATTCAGATGTCTCTCTGTTAAGTCTCTGGCCTGTTGACCTATCTAATGGAGATAGTGGGGTATTGAAGTCCCCTACTATTAATGAGTTGGGGTTAATTTGGGTCTTAAAGCCCTGTAGTATTTTTTTTATGAAGTTGGGTGCACCAGAGTTTGGTGAATATATGTTCATGATTGTAATATCTTCTTGACTGATTGTTCCTTTGATCAAAATGAAATAGCCCTCTTTGTCTTTTCTGGTTAGTTTCAGTTTAAAGTCTATTTTGTCTGATATTAGGATTGCTACGCCTGCTTTTTTCTTAGTGCCATTTGCTTGGAATATTTTTTTCCATCCTTTCACTTTGAGATAGTGTCTGTCCTTAAAAGTGAGATGAGTTTTTTGCAGACAACAGAAAGATGGGTTTTGTTTCTTAATCCATTCATATAGTCTGGTTATGGTGCAGAATCATACAGGTGATGCTTTGTTAATTTTCCATGTCTTTTAATTGACATGGGGTGCCTAATGAAAAGTAGGTATATTGATTTAAGAACAGTTGAATAACCACAAGTGACATTTTCTGAAAAATTATTGTTGCCTTTTCTCCCCATGCGTTTTTAATAAATTCAGTAGAGATTTAGGTGGCTACTCACTAAAAGCAAAATTGTTTGAGTAAATACAGGATGAATCGGGTTGCTAATATATATGTAATAGAAAATAGACCTAGAAGACATAAATAAAAGTCTGTTTATATCAAAGCAAACAAGAATCACAACACCCACATTAAGATGACTAAAATCCAAAACACTGGCCGAACAGACACTGGTAAGAATTCAAAGTGGTAGGAATTCTCATTCATTGTTTGTGATGAAATGAACTTGCACCCACTTTATATTATCTAAACACAGGCTCAAATAATATCCAGTAATTGTGCTCTGAGATATTTACTCAAGTGAGTTGAAAACTTACATCTACAGGAAAGTCTGCACATGAATGTTTATAATAGCCCTATCCAAAACAGTCGACAATTGAAAGCTATCAAAATGTTCCTTAAAAATGAATGGATGAGCTGTGGTGCCCCGTACAGTAAAGCATTATCCAGCAATGAAAAGAATCAAATTATCAAGCTATGAACAAACCTGGTGGGATAGTTAGTGAAAGAAGTCAGTCAATCTGGAAAACCTACATGCTATATAACATTATAGAAGAGACAATATAGTATAAGAATTAGAGATTGCCATGGGTGGAGGATAGGGCATTCTTGGAGCAATAAAACTATTGTGTATGATACTATATTGACTGATGTATGCACTTACAAAAACCCATAGAACACAGAGTAAATGCTAATGTAAACTATGGACTGACCTCAGTTAGTAATTATATGTATAAATTAGTTCGTAGTTTACACTAGTGTTCACTGTTTGTGTTCTGTAAGTTTTCATAAGTATACTAAATGTACCATACCAATGCAACAGTAATAACAAAAGAGCATGGTAGAAACTGGGAGAGAGGTGAACACGCCAGCAAAACTACTCTAAAAAACTTACAGATATGTTTACTGAGTTTCATTTTGTTTCATTTGAAATGGAGTCTCTTCTGCTTCAGTATCCCTTTCAAGTGCTGGAATAAAGGTTTGCCCACTGTGTGTGTAGTGTCTGCCATGCTTTTTCTCAACATGATTTATTGAAAAATATGATTTCCAGGTTCCTCATTAAAATTAACTATAGAGATGGCCTTTCAGAGTTATTCATTATGGGCCTTTCTTACCATTTGTGCCTTCTAGCGTTTAGCTAAAATTATTCAAAATAAAATCAACAATTTTAAACACTGAAAGGGTATCAACAACAAAAAATCCAAATAGACATAAGGCAAAATAAGATAAAGGACATCATACTAGAAAAATTTAAGCCAGGAAGAGTATCTAAATTATGCTAATAGACTAGTTTCAGGAAAGTTCATCTACATCTAAAAATTGGTTGCACAGATGCCAAGATCGGAGTATTTCTTTGAGCTCTCAACCACTGATCCCTCTAATAGCTTGCTATCTTCCTCTAAAAGTTAGCTATCTTCACAAAGAAATAATTCTGTACAGTGGATACTTACTTGGTTTCTCATTCTCAATATAAGTCTTCTATAGGAGCATTTACTTGGCAGGCCTATTTTTAATGTCTTCATAATTTGCCCTTGGCCCTGAATCCATGTAAACAGGCAGGAGATTGCACCCTCCTGTAGCCACCCCCCCAGATTTCCTGCATTCTGTCATTTTTATTAAGGCCTATTGAGGCAAGTTAATGTACCCATACATTCTCTGATGCAAGTTCATCTGCTCCTTGGTACAAGTTTATCCACTGGAGACTAGTCAGCCTATCTAGAGACACTCCCTTAAAGAAAATCAACTCTCCGTCACCCAGCAGTAATCAGCTGCCAATAGTTCTTTGACTAAGATTGGGACCTGCTGTCCGATTCCCAGTTCTATGCTGGGGTTTTGCTGGCTTGAGTTTGCATGTGTCTTGTGCATGCAGACACCATTGCTGTAGATTCATATGGACAAGGTCCCTGGAGCCTGCAAGACTGTTTCCATATGGTCCTGTACCTCCTCCTTGGCTCTTACAGTCTTTCTGATCCCATTTCTGCAATGGTCCCTGAGCCCTAGGTGAGTGGAGTTTAATATAGGAGTCCTGTCCAAGTGCCCACACCCTTCTTGGCCATTGTGGGCTTTTGTGTTCATTACCCTCTGTTGCATGAAGGAGCTGTTACCCTCTATTGCATGAGGGAGCTTTGCTGATGAGAGTTGAGAGTATTCTGTCTTCCCCTTGTTCTGCTATGTTCGGTGAGCTGTACGTGTAGAGATTCCATTGTAGATATGTCACTTACGGTTGGGCATTTCACAGACATTTATTCTCTGTATGTGACCAGTTATGAAATTCTGTAATTGACTCTGTCTGTTGCAAAAGAAACTTCTTTGATGAGTGGTGACTGGCATACTTGTCTGTAAATATAAGGACCCATATTTAGCATATAGTAAGAAATTACATTTGTCTAGGGATGTGGCAGAGGTAGGGTTTTCGCTAAAATCTATGACCTTTTCAGCCATGTGTATTTGGCTGTTTATAGTACCACACATGAGTTCTCTCCCATTGAGCAAGCTTTAAGTTCAATTAGATAGCTGTTGGTTACCATGAAGATAAAAGTGCCACTACTGCCCCAATGTAGTTTGCTCTGCTGGTCATTGTTGTGGTTTTTAGACAGGAAAGCTGGGGTTGGACCATCAATTGATGTTCTCCTTTACCAGCTTGTGTAATGCTCTCCGAAACTATGAGAATTAGCCTTCAGGGGAGGAGGCTTCCAGGTCAGTCCAGTTCCATTGCTCCAGGTCTTGTGTCTGAAGCATGTCCTGTATTCAGCAACAGGATCTTGCCTTCACATTCTGGGAAGCAGACAACGGCTGTATCAACAGTCTGTGTAATGTGGGGAGTCTCTTGAACTATCCTGGTCAACAACTCTACTTGAAGGGAGGTTTTTCCTGTCTGGTACTTTTTCTTGTTATATAGCCTGCAGCTATACACATGGACACATGTAGAGATACTGTACGTGATTTTTCAGTAGACTTTTGAGTTAATACATTTTCCTCTAGTTTTCCACATTCCTCGGGACTGTCCTGGGCTAAATTTAAAAGGAAATAGGAAGGCCGGAATATGTCAATGGTACAGTACTTATCTAGTAGATGCTAGGTCCTGAGTTTGAACCCCAGCACTGCAAGCGAAGAAAAAAAAATGGAAGGTTTTCTTTTTTTTTTTTGTATATTTAAGTACAGATTATATTAATTGGTTCCAAAGAACTCATGTAGGTTTAAAGTTCATCTTGATTTAAAATATAAAATTCATCAGTTGTGGCCAAGAAAATGATTGATTCATAGCAGTATGAATTCTCATTCAATAAGGGAAAAGACCATATAATTTTGTATTCAAGTACTGCTTCAAAACAGAATCTGAACATCCTGTACAGAAAGCCACAGAAAATGATTCTTGAATTTATCTAATTATATCTAAATCCTTAATAAAATTCTATGGCCAAATATTTATAGAGTCTGTATAATCTGTAAGCTATCTTAAAATAGTATTATTGAATCTACCACATACTTTGCAATATCTGAACTGGAAGTTGGTGTGCACTTGCAGCATTCGTCTGAAGAGTCTCAATGCTAACACAGACATAACTTCCCTGGCACGGAAAGTGGTTGAAGAATGTAAACTCATTCATCCCTCAAAATTGAATGAGGTGGAGCAGCTATTGTACTATCTACAGAACCGCCGTGATTCATTGTCAGGAAAAGGTAAGTGGAAGAATTGCTGGATTTTAAATGCAATACCACAGTTGTTTGACTATCGTATATAAATACTTCACATTATTTGAATGTTAAGTGAGTTCTTTTTCCCAGTTCTAGAATAAACATATATTAGTTTCATGCATGAGAGACCTTATGATTTCACATACAACTATCAGGTTCTGTTTTACTGTGCTCGTATATGCACATGCACAGAAATAAGAGGGAAAAGTATGTGTTACAATGAGCATAGACTATGAAGGGAATGCGTTTAGGGCAGAAAATGTTTTTTTTTTTAATCTCTTACTTATACTTAATTTTTTATTTGAATGAATTATTTAAATATTTCAAGTGTTAATGTACATATAATATGCAGCACAATTTTTAGACCGGCCTGGGAGATGACTTTCATGAATATTCCATGGGAAAATACATTTCTTTCCTCAGTGTCTTTAATGTCATTCTCTTACAGTACCAAGCATATGTTAAATGCATTTTGTATATTTGTAGAGTGAATTGAGTGGATATAAAGTTACTGAAAAACAAAATATGTTTTGAACTTGATTTCTTCTATTTGCATTGCTAACACACAGCATATCAATACTTAATATGTTTATAGTTAGTAACTGCTATCTCCTGCCCTCAGTTCCCTCATAAAAGAACCATACCATTAAAGTATTAGAGCTCAGAAAATATAGAAGACATTTGCAAATAGAAATGAAAGCATGGGGTTGTAAATGGATTATTAAGAGCTTGGTTATCCCTTTTCACAATGTTTCAAAGTAACATCGATAGTTCAAAAATAAACTATTTTTAGAATAGCATATCACTGCTCAGATTTTGACTGGACTAATAGAATTTTTTAAAATTATTTATTTAGTAACCACATAATTAGAAGAAGCATTTCATTACAACAGCATTGACACATTCAGTAACAATTTCCAGAGCAAAGATGCATCTCTTTCAAAATTGGCTGTAAATTTTTAGGTTTACAATTGAATCAATACAGTTATACAATATTATACTCAGTATAGGCCCTATAAGACATAAAATTTAACGAGGTTTTAACCTTTAAAAAAGATCTCCGTTTCATTTTAAAATATACTGTTTCATACAGAAAAACTTCAAATTAGTCTTCTCTATATCCATAGCAAATAAATTGCTTTATGCCTAATAAATGCTTTTATTAGTTATCCTTGAATATAGTACCAAGCATATGTTAAATGCTTTTTGTATATTTGTAGAGTGAATCAAATAAATGTAAAGTTACTGAAAAATATGTTTTGAACTTTATTTCTTCTAATCGCATAGCTAGCACACAACATATCAGTACTTAATATGCTTATAGTTGGTAACTGCTATCTCTATAAGGAAGATATCAGGGAAGAATTTTGTTAAACAAATACCATATAAAACAATTTTCTCTTTACTATTTTTGTAAATATCTATAAATAGGGAGAAAGCATTACAAATAAATTCCAGGTAAACAAGGTAAGCTGATAATAGTATTTGAATACACGTTGTGTTCATTGTACATGGTACAATGGAGTTAAAATAGGTATTTTCTAGTACTAAATGAATATAACTTTGAAGGCATTTATAGTAAAATATCTTTGAAACTGCTAAAAATCCTAAAACAGAGTTTTCAGTGCCAATCAATATTTTCCTCCATTCCAATGCTAAAGAAATACTAAAAAATTATCTATATTATACGTGGATAAAATATTTACAATCAAATTTATTTTCCACCTGGCTATATCTTGCTCACTGAAAAAAAGTGTTAATCCTTTTTAAATTCAATATTCATTTATTTATGTCCTTTTGTGAAAACAGGATTTCCTAACATTTTTTATCATTAGCTATTGACTTTGTGATTTTCAGTGACAAATTTTGCAGAGCAATATTTCTTTTTTGCTAATCATGTGTTTTAATAAAATAATAGTTTTTATTATGACATTTTGTTCCATTCTTCTAACCCTCACATTTACCCCTGTCATCCTTTCATACCCTTCTCCTAATCCCCTTCTTCCCTAATAGTCCCTGGGAAGGGCCAATTCTATTATATGTACATTTATAACCTAATTATAATTCAAGATTTTGATACTTTTCCAACTTAGTTTAATGTATGCATTAGTTCTGTTTAGAACATGAAATTATGCTTTTAATTGAATGTATAATAAGTAACTCAAAGTTATGTTTAGTACCTGAATACCTCCTTGGGAGTAAATGAAGATTAGTATAAATATCAAATATTTATCTTTTATTTTAATTTATGTTCTAAATTTCACTTTTCAGACAAAAAACAGTTAGCTGTTATTTAGTTTAG